TATTGGAGAAATTGAGATTTTCACTAATTTACAGCTTTGTTATAGCTAAAATATGATTCAATAAAAGAAAAATCCTAAATAATTTGACTAAAATTATATGTAATTTACACAAGAACTGGTCGAGAATGGGGTTGGTTAGGTCAGGTCGGGTTGATGGGAATACCCATGTCTGCCCCAAAACAGGCCAAACATATAAAATAAAACGGGTCAAGTCGAAATTACCATCCGTACCAAAAAAGATAAAATGATAAAGTTATCACGAATAATGAACATTACTTAATGTGATACAAAAAGAAAGGCAACAACATTAACGAGTAATGCCAGCCAATTTAATCGAAAGTAACTTTTTAAGAGCTTAGCCAAAAAGTTTTGGTTGAATTCCACAGGAACAAGAAGAAAGGTTTTGGTTGAATAGATCACTTGTTTATGTCGCTGTGGGGCAAGCTTTGTTTGTCATCTATTTCCACTTAAAAGAAAAGAAAAGAAATATGTGGCTGGTCATGGTATTTAATCATGGTACATAACAACAGCATGCCGCAAATCGACAGGTTTAACAATGAAAACATGGTCGACTTTACATCTTTGTTTGCTTTATCCTCGGGAACAGGTAAATCTTTCATTCAGATTTCATATGCTTGTATCTGTTTAGCCCTTTTCCTTTCCTTTTGAACCCCAGAGAGTCTAGCATACTAGACACCAGAAGAAATCAATCTAAAGAGATGAAATTCATGGGAGGTATACTCTTCCTGTTGGCTCCACCTCCACCAAGGAGGGTCTCCCCAACAAGGGCAAGGGCAACAACACTAAAGTAGCAGGTCAAAGTTCATAAAGATATAAGGTTAAACTAAATGCCCTACTTTTCTTAGAAAAATTAAAAGAAGAATCCTACTTTATAAATAGTAAGCAGCAAACTGGGTTAAATGGAAAAATAAGTTTCTTCAGTATAATTGTACTTCCAGGCGTGTGTGTTACATGCTTGGTTATAAGAACCTAACCAAATTAGCGGCCGGACCAGTAGAATCATTAAATAAGTTATAATTGTGAGTCGGTCCATTTGTTATAATGGTTAGAGGTGAACCAAACGGTTTCTAACTGTTCGATATGACAACCACAATTTGACTAGTTAAATGGTTCACTAATTTAACCACAAAAATTACGAAACGAGCAACTTGTACATGATTGACTCGGGGATTGGATGAGAAAATTTTGATGAGCAAACTAAGACCATCTAATCTGAATTATTAATTTTATTTTTGCTTGCTCTTCTTTGTTTCTTATTCTCCTTGTAAGTTTCACGTAGTTCACTATTGATTGTCACCCTTATTACTGATTCGAATTTAATTAATTTTTTATGATCTTGGAAATTTTTAAATGATTTGTTAGAACTTTTGGTGATGGATTATATGAATTTAAAATTGTTTATGGTTAGTTATAAATTGGGTAGTACGGAAAAACCAAAATTATCATGAATATTTCATTTGTATCCCGAACTACTCAATATTTCATTTATGTCATGAACTATTTTTCAGTTAAAGTTGACCTTCTTTAACCGTTAATTTTTAAGAGAAAGTCCGGTCAACCTTAAAGTGTAATCTAATGTGGAATTTTTAAATCTAATTTTTATTAATTTGTCTATATAACTTAACAAAATGAGTAAAATAAAAAATAAAATAAACAAGCTCTACTCCCTCCACCGTATGCTTCCTTTGGGCTTGGGATACAGTCAGTAACCATTGGTACTATGAGTAACTAAATCTAGACCTTTAGATCTAATTGGGCCTAAAAAATCCAGATCTAAGGGTTGTGAATTAGATTTATTTTATTTTTCGTAGTTTTCTTAATCGGCTCTTATCTTCTTCGTTCTAACTCAAATTTCAATTTTTTTTTTCCATAAATGGAACGAGTTCGTTGTGCTATATAAAATGGGATAAATTTTCAATATATTTCGAGAAACTTTTTTTCATACCTCCCATTACCAACTACATACCACATGGTAACTTCTTCGTTTTTAAGTCGTTTTTGAAAACGTTTGCTGAGAAGGGACGAGTTCATCATGATCTATTGGATCTACAAATTTATGGGTGAAAAAAATATATGACAAAAAATTACCATACTTTACCACTCTAGTATATGGGTGGTAACTTGTGGTAAACAATGACGAAAGTCATAAATGACAGTTAGTATACTCCTACTATTATGTAAGCAACCTTCCTGCAGTATTGGTATGTTCATACCATCATGATACACTTTCTTACCATATGGTATTAAATAGGAGCATACCATATGGTATTGACTGGTAAAAAATGAATCAATTCTTTTGTTCTAAAAATATATCAAAGTGTATATCATTTTAAAGAGCACAATTAATCTGATTTATCTAGGAAAAAAATTTAAATTCCAACTTAAAACGAGAGGAAAATCGTTCGTTAAAGATTAAAGGGGAAAAGATAAAAGGCTTTCCATGAGAGAGAGAGATGCTGATGTGGACGGGTTGGGGCCTCCTGTAACGGGTCGGGTCATGTTGAGTTGGCTGATTTCAGGTCAAATATTGACCTAATCCATTCAGTTTCGGGTTGGGTAACAGGTCATTTCGGGTTATGAGCTCTCTCAAAAACAATATCAAACATGCTTCATATTTTCTTAAAGAACACTGGTTATCGAGTTCGGGTCATTCGGGTCAAGAGGTCTGGCCGTTGACCTACTAACTCACCCAACCCGACCAAAAAAATCATGGGCTATCGGGTTCGGGTTATTCGGATTTTGGGTTATAAAAACTTCTATTTTTCGGGCGGGTTTGAGTCGGGTGAACGGGTTGGGTTGTAATTTGTTAGGTCTATTTGAGGTGCATATATCAAGATGACTTCCCATTACGTTACTCATCCTTGTAGTAATTCACAATATGCACGTTTAATTTCAAAGTTTTTATATAATGCACAGCACTCATACAGTCCATGTACAGAAGAACTCCCAAAATTTTGATTACCTATCTATCTTTCTTTTTTACTTTTCTCATTTACGGACGAGTCTATCTTTTCTCACTTTGACATTGGCTAAATATAATACAATTAGCTGACTCTTGCCAATTAAAGAGGGACAGCAGATTGATCATCACCCACAAATTAAAAGGGGTTAACTTTTTTATTTTTAATTTTTTTCCCCCTCTTCTTTCGTGGATGGGAATGGGGCAAGGAGAAAAGTAGGCGTGCCTGCCTTTTGTTAAACAAAACAAAAAATATTTCTTTGAGGTTAGACAAGTTGTTACAAACATACCCATAAATTTTAAATTATTAAGTGATTAAAAAATTTGATGCCAACTTACCGTACACTAGCTTGGCCTTTTTCCTCTGTATCTGACACTGAATCTTATATATTTTATTTTTAGCTTGCAAATCTGCATGCCAATTAAATTTTGTGGAATACTATTGTTATTTCTCTAATCTTCTGCCCTAGTTGCTAACATCTAAATAAAAAAGTGGAAGAAAAATGGATAAGACGTTATTCAGGTACGTGATGTTGAAGTGTTATTTTACTGAATAAAATTGTAAAGGACCCCTCCAATAACAATTTGCACATTTCAAGTGCACGATGAGTCATCAATGAGTAAGAAAGAATATATTAGAATATGAATAATCATTCTGATCATCATGTGAACCTGGGTGTTTTATTCCTAATTAATTGGCCAACTTTTCTGAACTGAGTTTTGGATTGCGTCACACATCATACTATTTTTTGATTGGCGCGTACAGATTAACTAAACCAAAATTCCATCTTAAGAAAATCTCTGAAGATTTTAACATTTTCATAAGCAGCATCAAATGTCTTTCCAGTCCATCTCCTCTTCTTCTTCTTCTTCTTCTTCTTCCAAACATTCCTCACTTACATAATTGCATCCCCCCTTCCCCCACATCATCATGGCAAGCCTCTCTTTCTCATCCCCATATATTGTATATATGGCAACAGCCAACAAGCATCATATCTTTCCGAAAAGGATTCGTGTTATCCCCATATTTTTAGGATAACGAGTACCTGAAAAATTGATATCTTCGATAGGGGATTCACCTTTAGCCTCGCAGTATTGTCAATTGTGATCATTTTCCCCTTAACGGGTTAGAGTGAGTCTAAAGAAACTCTAGTGAGAGCTTACCTTTACAAACCCTTTTTTCCTACTGCTTTCCCTCGTCTTGAATTAGTAAAACAGGTCACATTTAGTTACTCTCCCGTTAGCCTCCGTCCAATCCCGATCACTCGAATTACTTTTTTTTTTCTTATGAATGTCACTCGAATTACTGAAACATGTCACATTTAGTCACTCTCCGTCAGCCTCCGTCCAACTCCGTTACATGTTTCATGTTTCACTCTTTGGACGGAAACTACCGGTAGAGTGACTAAATGTGACATATTTCAGTAATTCGAGTGACCAAAATTAATATTAATTTTTTCTAGTCACTAAACATGACATGATTTACCCCTATAAAAAAACCATCAAATGTTGAAGCCAGAACCAATTAACTAGAGACTGCTAGCTCCCCCCAAGCTAGCAAACTAAAAAAAAAGTAGATGTTTTTTCCCTAGATTTAAATAAGTAGAAAATGAAGAGCACTATATGGATTGGAGAAATATGGATAGTGTTCACGCCAATGAGATCATATATGTGGTGATCGGGACACACACAAATATATACCAACCCAACAAAACAAAACATTATGCTGCAATGTATTGCATCTCCAAAAATCCACAAATAATGATTAACCTGCTTTCCCCCTTCTTCTTCTTCCCCCCACCACCCCTTTCCCCTCCCGCTTATGTAAGCCACGCCCATGCCTGAAAGAGAAAAACCTGACACTGTTCCTCAATTGGTTCCCTGTACCTGAGAATTGACCCCTCCCCACTCCCTCTGTATAAAAACCCCATCCCTCCAAAATATTCCCTCATTCCATCAACAAGAGAACCTCACCCGTCTGCATTGCCAACACTTAAAAGACACTAGGAAAAAAAAAAAAATGTTGCCAGCAGGAGAAATTGCAGGTATCCATTTCCTCCCCCAGGAAATCCCCTGTTTTCCCCTGCCTCACCAATCCTCCCCTGCCTCCTCCTCTGCCGCCATCAACAGAATCCTATCCAGCAGTTTCCAGGCGAACCACCACCACCACGACTACTTCGTCCCGCCGCCGCCCTGCCCCTACCCAAACTACAACTCCTCCAACGGCACCTCCGACGAGGCCGACGAGCAGCAGTCGAGGATCGTCGACGAGAGGAAGCAGAGGAGGATGATCTCCAACAGGGAGTCCGCCCGCCGATCCAGGATGCGCAAGCAGAAGCACCTCGACGAGCTGTGGTCCCAGGTGCTCCGCCTCCGCGCGGAGAACCACGCCCTGCTCGACAAGCTCAACCACGTCTCCGACCGCCACGACCGCGTCGTCGAGGAGAATGCCCGCCTCAAGGACCAAGTCTCCGGCCTCCGCCACATGCTTACCGACTTACCCATTGGGAGCCCCTACGACAATAACAATAATACGGCCATTGCTCACGGGGCAGAGTCCTCTTCATCCGACCAATCCATCCCCACTTCTTCCGTAGACTTGCTTCTTTAATTTAACGCCCACGCCAGACGATCTCTATATATATAGATATATATGTGTTGTTCTATCAGATCGCTCTGTTGTTTCTTTCAGCTGCCTGACGGATGCTCTGCTTTTCTGCAGTTTTGTACCATCCACCTCCATATATACAATCTTGGTTTATATAATCACTTTAGAGCACGGTCGAAGAAACCGTACCAGAGATCGTACCGGAAAAGTTATAAGTAGGATATTTTATGGCAAAATCGTGGTTTAACCATAGTTCAAATCGTTAGAACCGTTAAATACTACCTACCGGATTAACTTCCGATACTGGTATTTTGTAGTTGAACTGCTGGTACGGTACGGTTTCATGGACCATGCTTTAAAGATGGCGTGTAATTAAGGGCAGTAGTTAATTAACCCATGATTAACCGGATGGATAACCAACTTAATTACTTGAATTTCTCCTTGTCGATCATGAGGTTGAGTATTATTCTAACATGAAGGACATACATTCCATGAACTAGCTAGACACAACAAGGATGGATAACAGGGAATTAAAGAAATGTGTGCATTGTTTTCTGGGTGGTTCTGAGTTCTGACTTCTGAGGACCCATTTAATTTTCTAATGTCTAAATTTAGCTGTCTTAGTGGTTGATGAGTCGAGGGAGTGTTCAAGCCAACTTATCGCCGCATATTTGGCTAATTCGTCGAAACCTCCTGAACCATATTCCTATGCTTTACATGGCAGGAAGAGATAGATATCATCATATTTCACCGATAATTTTATCAACCTTCACTAAATTTGTGACATGATACCATACCATAACTCGTAAAAATTTAAAATTTAGGTCTTAATTAGTTTTATAAATCTCATACACTAATAACAATTTAATTAAAAGCAATAATTGACGGCCATTATTGGTCGAAATATATCCAACAAATTATATGCATCATTTTAGTTTCAGACAATTAAGCCGATCGAGGGTTTACTCATAAAGAGTTAGGGTATAATATCATGCTCTAACATTTGGTTAATATACGAAGATTAGATAGCGTTTTCATATCAAAAGTATACGATACTCTAGATTTACATTAGGGTACGATAGAAGACCAATAAAGTTATTGCACCCAAAACAAAATCCATATATACATAAACACCAGTATGGCCGGGAGAAACAGTCCGGTTCGGTTTAAACCGGACCGGATTGAGCCGGTTTTTTAAGACCGTATTGGACAACCCAACGATCAAAGACGGGATTGGATTGTTACCCGATTTCGACCAAACCGAATTAGATGCTATACGATTTGGTCCGCGGTTTTGACCGGAAAATCATTTTGACCACAAACCCAGCAGAATGACACCGTTTTGACCGGGAAACTGTGACCGGATTCCCAGCCCCTTGTGCGATAAAGGATTATGTTTAATTCTTTATTTAAGAGTAAATATGATCGATGAAGGAGAAGTTGGAAATCTCAAAGCTAGAAAGGAAGAAATAATTGTTGTGGGGAAGGGAGAGAGCATGAGATCAGCGAGGAGAAGACCCACCTCCATGGGGGACTCGGCTCAGGAGTTGGTTGGTTCAGGAAAGCAACAACTGGACGAGTCGAGAGGGCAAGAAGAAGAAGAAGAAGGAAGAAGAAGACAAAAAATGGTGGAGGGAAGAGGTGATAGTGGTAGTGGTGGCCGAATTCATCATCCCAATCAGTCACTCCCATCCAACCCTATTAAAGCAATTTAAGGGCAAACAAAAAAGGAGGAGGCCGGGGTCATATTCATCCACTATTATGCACTCACTAAACCCACACGCCCAAAGTTCAAAACCCCCCCGTCTCCATTTACTTGCTGCCTTTTTCTTCTCACTTTTTCTAGCGAATGCCAAATTTACAAGGCAAAGGGGAAAACAACACCAGATAGATTATCAGATCTGTCCCTGGACAGGGTATCAATCAGTACGCCTGACTTCTCAGTTCTCACAGAGACAAACACGTACGTCGTTACAGTAGCTTTCTTTCTTAGATTTCAGTGTTGGGTTGGAGTTTCTTTTAGACCAATCTCTACTACTAAACATACTGGGCCGGGCAGCCAACCCTCCATCTCGATTTCTTGTTTTCAGACAAATCGCGTTTCTTGCTTTCACCACTAGTTAGTGTTGCGTGGAGCCCCGTGGTCGACAACTATGTTTGGGGGGGGCACAAGCACAAACCCTATATAGCTTTTCATAGCTAGTCTTTCCTTTTTATACCCCTTTCACCTTTGTCATGTACGTACGTTAGTATAATGCATGTATATATGTATATCTAGGAATGGAAATGGTTCGGGTTTTGTCAAAACCAAATTCAAACTCATGGGTTTATCCGTAAAAAACTTCTGGGTAAAATCCATTGATTTGGGAAACTTAAACCAAATTCAATCCGCTAGGTATCCGCGGGTTCATGGGGTATACCCATGAGTTTTTTTTATAAAAAAGTTTACAATAACAAGTTCCTATCGAAATAAAAGTGAAACATCAATTTTCCCATACAAATTATCCATACATAAAACATCAGTCTAGAAAATTCAAACAAATCATAATAACACTGAATTAAAGCACACAATTCTTTGTTTATCGTTCATTCCCTTTTTATTTGTGAGAGAGCTGCAAACCAACAAATATAGTGTGTTCAACTTCAATTATTTATTTATCCCTCCTACTTCTTTTGGGAAACCGTGAATAATACCTTGCTGGTAAGAAATAAAACATATACTCAACTTTCTGGGAGAATCAGGAAAGAATTGGCCGATTGGGGATCGAATCAGGAAGGAGAGGGGGTTTTGGGGGAGAGAGCAGAGTGGGGACTGGGGAGGTGAGTCGTGAGTATCGATTGGGGGAAATTAAAATTAGAGTAGAGTATGGGGAGAGTAGGGCAACAAAATAAGTGTGGCCTTGTATCGCTAAACCCAAACCCAACCTAACCCGGTGAACAGTGTAATGGGTTTAAACCCGAACCCGACCCCAAACCCTTAAGCACGGATTTTACCCGCGTTGACCGGGTTGGGTACCTGTGGGTTCGGGTTTATTACCATCCCTATATATCCCATGTTTATTTACAGGATCTGGTAATTGGGTGCTTTCGAAGTTCGAGTCATAGCCGATCGAGGGGATCGGTTAGCTTGACTACCCCCATAAGGGGTCTAATTTTTGACACCCCACTTAGATGTCATCCATTTTCATTAGTGTTAAATGAATGGTTAGGATTAAACATCTATTTATTGAGCAGTAATCATGTAATTATTGTTCTATAACCTACATTGAAAATGAAAAAAATCGGGTGTCGAGGAAAAAATGGTTCCCAAGGCCAATTCAAAATTAATTACCCCTTTTATTTCTCTCACTCGTCTCCTCCTCTCTCCCTTTCAATAACCTGTCTACCAAAATGCTCCCGCCGTAACTCTCCCCCGCCATAACCCCTCCCCGCGACGGAATCATCACCCTTCCGCTCTCTGTTACTATTCCTCAACGACAATCGGCGGCCCATCCCATCTGTCGGCCATTCTTTGCTTTCCCGCCATATTCCATGTTTTCCGGCCGTTGACGCGAAGAGATCGGTGGAGAAGACGATGACCCTCTTCACCTTTCCGGTGAAGGCGACGACCCTCCTATCCTTCCTGCGTTGGCCTTCCTCCCCTTCCTGGCGAAGACGACGGAAAAGAATCTGAGGTAGCTCTCTCTCTCCCCCCCCCCCCCCCCACTCTCCCTCTCTCTCTCCTAAACTCATATCTGGGTTTTTCTTGTGGTATTAGTACTAGTGCAATGGTATTTTCAGCACCCAGATCAGTGTCTTTGAGGTTCGAGATCTGGGTTTTTTCATGTGGTATCAATACTTGTGTACTAGTATGTCTATCACTGGAGTGGTATAAATTATCGATTCTGGCACAGAAGTGTACCACTCTAGTGATAGTTGATTCTTGGTTAATGTGGTGTTATTTCTATGACTAGAGTCTATCACTAATGTGTGGTGGTTGTACTGCTATACTGGTAATTCTACCAGTGAATTATATCACTGTAGTGATAGTTGTCCTACTTATCGCTCTCGTATTTCTATCACTTCATTGATATTTCTGATTATTGTCTTCCTACCCAATGACCTCAGGAATGGCCATGACGAAGAGGAAACGGTAAAAGTTGAGATAGGCCAAGCTCCTGCCTCGAGTGCAGGTACCAACAAGAAATGGCTTCGTGAGAGTCCGGATAAGGAACAATACGCTAGGGGTCAACTAAGAAATACATCATCATGGAAATATTGTGGTCTCAACTGCTTTTGAAGTTTGGAATTGATTTTATTATTTTTCTTTGTCGTAATGATTGGTTAACTTCTTTCAATGTCATGGAAATATCTTTGCCGACGAGTAATGGCATAGAAATGGTCTTCGCACAACTTCAGCGGTAATCATACTACTTCAGTGGTACATATATACCACTGAACTTGTACTATACTACTATACTGGTATACATATCAATTAACTGGCACTTATACCACTATACTGGTACTTATACCACTGAATTGGTACTAAGACTGTCCTCAATATACCAATACTCATACTTGATCATGAAATATAATTCTGGCACAAGCAACACAATAAACATTTCAATCAGTCAACAAAATAGGAACTTTCCATTAGTAGCCAAAAACTGTGTTCCAAAATGGGTTGCAAAATCAGGAAAATGGCAACAACAATGCCAAAAGCAATAAATTATCCTTCGAATGCTGATAGACCGATAATTATACATGTTTTCACCCCATTCTGAAGCCGTTTGAGATGTGGATTCTAGTGTTTTAAGCCGATTTCACGCTAGGGTGTGTGTTTATGTCATATTTCAGGTCCCGGCGTTGAAATCGAGGCGGAGAAACGAGTTCTGGGTCGAAAGGAGCGAAGTTGGGACGAAGTGAGCTGCAGGAGGAAAGTACCCGTCAGGTGGCCAAATACCCGACCGGGTATTCGCTGTTTTGGGCGCCCGAGAAACAGAGAGGGGCCCGGGCAGAATGCC